CACGTGCCTGCAGAGTATAGGAAGGCTGTGGACAGAGGCATGCCCTAGCATCCTCGCCATGGCAGGACAGGGAAAGCCAGGCCACTGGGGCAAGAATATGAATTGGCGGATGCTGTCTGCAGCAGGACCTCAGTCATTCCCAGCATCCTGCTTCACATCTCCTCAGAAAGAGCCCTGACCGGGCCCCTGTTTCTCATTATACCTATGGCTGAAAAGTATGAAATAGGTGAGTGTCACCATGTCGAAGGCCCTGTGAGAACTACAATTCAACAGAAGAATGTTTTCTTCCAGGGAAAGGCCAGTGTCCACTTTTCTAAATGGGAGGCCAGCCCCAAGGGATGAGCACTGATACACACTGTCCTGGATGGGGGTCAGCAGTGGAGAGCCTTCAGTGTCTAGGACCATGAGAGCTACACTAGCTCTCTCACCCATAATCAGTAATGAGGCAAGCATCTGCTTCATTCCCATTTTGCAGATGGGAAAACAGAGGCACTAATTTATCCAAGGTCAAATGCCTCGAAAGAGTCAAGGAGTAGGCACACACATGGAATTAACTATTCGAGGGTGTGCATATGCGTGTGCATGCTGGGGGAACTTATATTGATCTTAGTTCTTGGTGCTGCACAAATATATCTTCTTGCTTCTCTTTTCTTTGAGAGTCCATTAGGGCCCTGTGGCTGAAGTGACAAGATGGCATCAATGGGGTGGCTTGAACGACAAGTACATCTTCTCTAGATAGAAGTCTGAGATTCGGGTACCTACATTATGGGAGACCCTTGCTCTGCATCGGTCCGCACTGGGCATAGATTACCATGTAACCCCTAACAGCTGTGACACGCATTCAGTGTTTACTTTTTAAGCGACATCAGTCCAGAAGCCCACCGTCCGCTGCAGTGACAGGCCAGTTGCATGGCCTAGGCCATGTGTGGCAAATGCTCCAGGCCCTTCTTCTGTCTAACAGGCATCTTTCCCAGCCAACCTGCAGCTTGTCCTGGTTCTTCGGCCCACGGGCTTTTTCCAGAGGACTCTCTCGGACATCGCCTTCAAATTCAACAGAGATGAGTTTAAGATGAAAGTGCCGGTGAGTGCTCTCGTGAGCTGTGTCAGCAGAAGGGAGCTTAAGCACATTCTTGGCACGTGGTTGGCTCTCACGGAGTGACCCCCACTCTGTGGCAGCAAATAAAACCCCAGAGGTTCGGTCGGAAGCGACACTCCCCCTGAGTTCTGGCAGTGGAAGCTTGGTGGTTTGCTTCCCCTTCCCCTGAGCCCTGCCCCGCCCAAGCTAGTGGTCCGTCCATTCAAGGCCACAGCCTTGTGTAGGTTCCAGGGGATAACTCCATCAGAATACTGTAAGCCACTGTGCAGTCCTACGCCAGCCCACTGTGAGGGGCACACCCCAAATGTCTCAGAGAAGGAGGCTGGCTGGGCAGTGGTGGCGCACGCCTTTAATCCCAGCACTTGGGAGGCAAACGCAGGTGGATTTCTGAGTTCGAGGCCAGCCTGGTCTACAGAGGGAGTTACAGGACAGCCAGGGCTACACAGAGAAACCATGTCAAAAAAAAAAGGAAGAAAGAAAGAAAGAAAGAAAGAAAGAAAGAAAGAAAGAAAGAAAGAAAGAAAAAAGAAAAGAAAGGGAGGCTGATAGAGGACATGGGTGTGTCCTGAGCCCACGGAGGGAGCTGAGCTCAGCTGCCAGCCAGGCGTGTGCTGGACCTCAGCCAGGAACAAGCCAGCAGTGTAGTCCCTCCCTTATCTAATGTCTCTCAGCAGCATAGGTCAGCCCCTTCCCACCATCTGCTGAGAAAGGACCCTCACGGTGCTCTACTTCCTGTCAAAAACCAAGACTATATGAAGTTCCTGAAAGCACACACCTCACAGCCTGCGACGCCTGGGTACAACCCGTACAGCACCCAGGAGCTGCCAGAAACTGACCCTAGGAAGTCATTTCTTTTTCACAAAGAGAACAGGACACAGGGGCCATTGCCAGGCTGTGGGATGCCCCAGCAGTGCCACCCAAATTGTTTTTGGAAATGGAGGAATCCAGGCCGGTCGCTGTCCACAGTGCTGTCTTGCTGTGTCTGGGTCTTCAGGTGGCAGATACTCTCTCTTTCCCAACTGTCTAGAGCCTCTGCCCATACCTCACAATGGCTCCCTGACCTCGCTCCAGGAAGGCTGAGTCCTTCAAAACAGAAACAATGGAGGCTGGGTTCACTACCCTCTCTGCTCTGCCTCCACTCCAGTCTTCCTCAAGACTCAGGAATGGTGAGGGATGGAGGCTCGGCACGGCCCAAGTCCTCAAGGGATGACCGTGACTCTAGGAGTCATGAATTGGTAGCTCTGAGAGTAACTGGCCCCAGGTCTGTGGGAAGATACCATACCCCATGTCTTGTGGCATCTCTTTCCAGACAGCCTGTTTCTTAGACTTAGTTATGGGCAGAGCCACCCACGGCAATAGCTCACCTAGCTAGAGGTCAAGTCCTGACCCCAAACTAGACGTGGGAGATGTGTCCACAGCTCTCACCTCTGAGCCCCACGGGTGCCCTCCCCTCTTATGATCCGATGACAACATGTCTGGCCCTTCTCCACCTTCAGCTTCCTCACCTCTGAACATGACGAGAAAGTAAGGTCGAGGCCATCTATAATAGTATATGGTCTCTTTTGTAAAATTATTTTGTAGTATAATGTTAACAGGTGTTAAAAACAGGTTTAAAGAAACTGTCCTGTCACCCGCAAGCTCATAGACCAATCTTAGATAAATTCTAGAATTATCGAAGGACTTGGCTTTTAGGAGGTGTCTGATACCGTTTCCACTGTACTGACCTCATGGCAAGAGAGCTCTGTAGAAGCTCTCCTGGGCTCCTCTCCTTCTCTGTTATGATGGAAAATGTACCACACGCACACACACACATCACACCACATACATCACACCTCACACACCACACACACCACATCACACACACACACCACACACACACACTCACACACACACACACACCACACACACACACACACACACCACACACCACATCACAAACACCACACACACCACATACACACACACTCCAGTATTAAAGTTAAAGATAGAGGTTTCCTTGAGTTACCCAATCCGTCTTGGGCTTACTGGCCATGAGCCAGGGTTGTTTGACAGCATGTGGATAAATTTATTAGAAGAACCAAAAGAAAGTGGAGCAGCTCTGTGAGAACTCTGTTTCCAGCTCAGACTGAGGATCTAATGCTGTTTTATCTGGCAGTCATACTTCAGTGGGGACCTAACATCTCTACTGCATCTCAGCACTGTGAGCGGCTCCTTGCTGGGAACCCTGGTTCTCAGCAATCCTGACTTCTGCCCAGAAGACACCAGAGCCTTCTCTCTATTGTAAAGACCAGGTTGTCTCTGGACACCCCCAGTAGAGAGCCCCCACTTTAAACTGACTCAGCATTGCATAATAGATGTCACGGCATCGAGTAACATCTGCACTGAGCCTTTGGAAGTTTGTTCTGTAGTATCTGCCCGACAGCTTACAAAGCAAAGTCTAGATTTTCATCTAAAACTCACAGTAGAATGGCCTCAGCAATGGCCAGAGATGGGTGAGATCCAGCTATGGATGCAGAGCTCGGCTGGCCACCGCATCAATCCAATGAGATGGGCACCTGGCTCTGCTGCTAAATTGATTCTCGCCAGTGCCTGAAATGATGTCTGTGGAGTTCTCATCAGGAGCCAGCACAAACTGATTCTTAGGAAGCAAAGCTCTATTCCCTCGGCATACTGAACTCCTTGCCAGAGAAGGTACTGGCACCCGTGGCTATCTGTGACAGGCCAGGCACTTTACGCAAGAGTTGGTCATGTCCAGTGACCTCACTGAGTCCTCACCATCTCCCAGTGAGATCCATCAGAATATGCCCATTGTATAGATAAGGAAGCCAAGGAACAATTCCAATAAGAGGCTTGCATGGGGCTCATCAACCAGAGGGCGGAGCTGGCCCCATTCAAATCAGAAGCCAGAGCCACTGTGGAGTCCAGGGCAGGGCGCCTGATGCTGCTCCCTCCTCTCATAGGTCATGATGCTAAGCTCAGTGCCAGAACTACACAGCTACATTGATAAGTCGCAGCTGACCGAGGACCTCGGGGGGACCCTGGACTACTGCCACTCCAGGTGGCTGTGCCACCGCACAGTGAGTGGGGGCCTGGGTGCTCTGCAGCCGTGTTCTCATTACTTCATAGCCCAGCAGAATAGTTTTCACATGACAACACTGCCTTTTAAAAACATGCTCACATGAAGTTCCTTCCCCAAGAATGAGGAGATGGTCTCTGTAGACCTTAGTCACTGTAAAGAAAGACCATGAGTAATGAGCCTGGGTGCGGCTCTCTCTGAGCTTAGAGGGAAAAAAAAAAAACCCTACCAAGCTCTGTGTTTCGGTCGCGACACTCATGAGTCTCCTATCAGGGAGCGGGAGGTGGAGACCCTGAGTGCAGAATGGCCCTGGGCGGCAGGGATATTTGCAAAGGCTGCCCCGAACATTTTTAAAGAAGTGCAAGGTTGAGACACTCACCAGAAGGTATTTGCTGGCACCCCTGTGTCCACAGGGTTTGGGGGCCACCCTCTCCTTTCCAAGAACAGTCATGGTGTCAGCTTTCAGAGCTGCAGGCCGCAGGGCCGTGTGCAGGATTCTGTGACTGTGCTCTCCCTCCTCCCCAGGCAATTGAAAGCTTTGCCCTGATGGTGAAGCAGACAGCCCAGATGCTGCAGGCCTTCGGGACCGAGCTGGCCGAGACAGAGCTGCCCAACGACGTCCAGTCCACCAGCCTGGTACTCAGCGTGCACACAGAGAAGAAGGCAAAAGTGAAGGTGAGGGCAGCTTGTGGGGCTGAGCAGGGCAATTTGATCCCAGACACACGATGTCAGGTGAGTTGCCACACGAAAGGGCCAGAAGTAAGTGGGTCTCTGGGGCTCTTGATAGGATACGGAGAACTGACCGTAAACCTTTCAGACCCCCGTTAGAATGCATGTGCACGGATGGGTGGCGCCTCTCAGCCCAGAAAACCTGAGGGACTTGAGTCTGTGCAAAGCCAAGACCAGAGCACGTCTCTGGTGGGTGTGCCCTGTGTGAGGGGCTGGGCAGCTCCAGTGTAACTGAGCAGGGCCTCTGCCAGTTCCTCTCACTGGTGACGGATGGCATTATGGTTGAATTTGCTGCATAAAATCCCATTGCGCTACGAGCTCACATGGCCTTCTGGGGTCAAGACATTCTGCATCACTGATGGCTCTGAGACAGCAGGGTCTGGGTGTCTGTAAGCTGTTGTGTCCTGACGATGATACCCCATCTCTGCAAGGCATGTCTCTCACTCCTTAGAAGTGGCTTTTGCCAGTACAGCAAGGCCAACTACAGGAGAGGTGCTCAAAAGCCTGGTTTCCGGTTACTTTGACCTTATCCCCACGCCCCGAGTGATCCATAGCCCTAGCTTTGCCACAGCAAGCAGCAGTGGCATCGTCCTTGCTAGCATAGGAGTTTAAGTTAAGTTAAGTCTTTGAGAATCTTATGTAAGTATACAATGTCCTTGACAGTTTTAAGTGCACTGTGTGATCACCCACAGTGCACAGTGTTCCCACCCCATGCTAGCCCCACCTACTCAGTGTTGAGACCTGAGTCCAGCCAGCTGGCTGCCATACAACCCCTATGTTCATTCTCTCTCTCTCTCTCTCTCTCTCTCTCTCTCTCTCTCTCTCTCTCTCTGTTTTTCTCCATGATGCCCTCTTTCTCTCTCCTTTTATCAGTTAGTGATTTAAAGCTAAATTTTCTAAGATCTCTATGTCTATATAGTTTGTCTATATACTTTGATTAACCACTCTATCATAT